GAATTCCGCTATATCTCATATATAAATTTTGTATCACAGTGTTAGTTGCCATATTTCTCCCACATTTTGATGAAATTTGATATGTATACTTGCCAGGTCTGAGGTAGGGTTGTTATCTATTTTTTATACCCCTAAGTCATAGGGGTGGCCTACCCCGAAAAAATATTTTTTTGTATTATGGACAATTTTTTATTTATTTATAATGTTACATTGAAAATACATACACGCCTAAATTTTCACCCGTCTTTCACCAACCCCTATTTTTAATAGCGATATTCTTACAAATATTATAAATGCTAAAGTAACTCAGTCTGTCTGTTTGTCTCGCTTTCACGCCAAAACTACTGAACTGATTTAATTGAAATTTGGTAGATAGATAATGTAGACCCTGAGAAAGGCTACTTTTTAATGCGAAAAAGTATTGAAAGGGGAAATGAAAGGCTATAGATAGATGAATTTATAGATAATAGCAATATATAGCAACAATAAGTTTATTTGCGGACAACGTTATAATTTTAATTTTCATACTGCTTTCTTGATATATGATAGCGTAGCGGCTTTTGTATTGATTGCCGCATGCATCCTTATGTAAAGTGCGAATACTGTAACTACCATATAGTTTTTTTTTTATGGATGATAATGTAATGGTGCATCCGCCTGAGCTAACGGTTTACGCTGGCGGGGCACCAGTGGAGGATGATAAGATGAGCATGAGGTCAGGTCAGTTAGCTCATCGTGACAAATTCACCAGGAATTTATCACGATGGTTTCCAGGGGGAACCGCGTGGAGGTCGACCTGACATGGTACATTGCTAGCAATGGGGTTATCAATCCACAGTACTAACAATCCCCTTCCTTCTATGTGACGTGGTCGTGTGGAATGAGTAGTCATGCTCACTAAAATGTCCAGACATGTGGCGGCGTGGTGGGCCGGGTCAATGGGCTCCCTAAAATATGGTCGAGAGCAGTGATGGCTGGCTCATCCGTCATACTCGTGAACGAGTGCTGCTTGTAGGGACTGGTCTGCTCTTATCACTACGACTGATTATATTTGACCTAAAAAATTAGTGCTTGTTGGTAGTTTGTATTCACACGTTTCGACTTGTAAATGTAAACTTACAAGGATTATTTAAAAGAGCAACACACAAGTTTTTGCTCGTTCTTCTTGTGATGAGACAGCTTTCCGAACGAGTGGTAGATAAAAAACAAATTGTTATGACTATTCAAAAGTGCTTAAATTAAGTTTATTTGAATAAATGATTTTCTATTCTATTCTATTCTATATGAGGATATCGTAATTTTTAAAGTCAGATCTTGTAAGATTAAGTGAACAGGGTCGGTCTAGGTTTTTCATTATTAGAAATGTGTAACGGGGTAACACGTTATTTAGTGCGAAATTGTGTATATTACAATAAAATTTAACGAGAAAATATTATAATGATGTCACTGGGACACTCATTGCCTTACTACTATATCGTCCGTTAGTCGCGAACTTTCTGGAAACACGAGAGGCGCGCTCCTATTGGTCGGTCGGCGCGGTTACCGCGCGTAGATGAGGTACACGAGTCTCACGGCGCCGCAGCGTAAGTACTTACTATACATACGTAGTATACATATAGGTGTTACAAATGTTTTTATTACGAGTAATATTACTGTTATCTAAGCAAGTAATATGTGCTTATTTTGAACTTGATAACATTCTGAATTACTCGTATATCTTTCAATATCTTTAGCGGTATAAACCAGGTTATGTACTACTACTAGTATTGTTAGTGAGGGATAAAGTTGATGAACAAAAATAAAACAATATTCGTATTAAAAATATATTCATCTAATATTTTTGGCATTATTTTTAAGTTTCTTCCAAATACAAGGGGTCTGACATGGGGTGTTATGTACCTACATTAAAAGATACTTTTTGAAATGTATGAAATGTATGTACCTACATTAAAAGATAATTTTTGAAATGTATGAAATTTTTGGAATGTATGAAATGTATGAAAGAAATGTATGTACCTACATTAAAAGATAATTTTTGACATGTATGAAATGTATGAAAGAAATGTATGTACCTACATTAAAAGATAATTTTTGACATGTATGAAATGTATGAAAGAAATGTATGTACCTACATTAAAATATAATTTTTGAAATGTATGAAAGTAATGTATGTACCTACATTAAAAGATAATTTTTGACATGTATGAAATGTATGTTCCTACATAAAAAGTTCATTTTTGAAATGTATAAAATGTATGAAAGAAATGTACGAGATGTATGAAAGAAATGTATGTATTTACATAAAAAGTTCATTTTTGAAATGTATGAAATGTATGTACCTACATTAAAAGATAATTTTTGACATGTATGAAATGTATGAAAGAAATGTGTGTACCTACATTAAAAGATAATTTTTGACATGTATGAAATGTATGAAAGAAGTGTATGTACCTACATTAAAATATAATTTTTGAAATGTATGCACCGTACAATAACAATACACGTTAAACATCATACCACAGAGTCATACGCAAGTTAAAAACAAACTGCTATGATATTAATGAGAAAGGAAAATCAACTTTATGGTATTCGAGTTAGGGTCGATTTCTCTCTTTTTTTAAAATATTATTTTAATCTTACCAGTTGCCAGTATTCGAAGACAGCTACGATTCGTACTCGATATTTTAAATTATTATGTAATCGATTTTTCAGTACAAATGTAAATAACCAACGACACTAATAATGTACTACTATATTCCGTTCTTTGAAACGGAACACTGCTATAATACAAAATAATGAAAATTTACTGTTCACAACGACTCATTAAAAGCATCATCGAATAATGCGCTGTAATAAAATCCTGTTATCGATTATTCAAAAAAATCGATAATACATGTATTTATTTTTAATATGACAACACTTCATACATAAGTATTATTGGAAATAGTATTACTTGCTTGTTCGGCTATTTTTAATTTACTTAAAAATTTTTTATATGTTTAATTTACAATAATAATATATTAAGTGCTTATTATTGGAAAATATAAAAAAGACATTTAATTAGGCCGATACAAATGACGACAATGCCATCTATGAAAGCATTTTGAAAACATTGAGCCCCATATTAGCACTGATTAAAGTGTAAATAAGTACTGGAAAATAACAAAATGAGTAAATATATGAAAATTACTTTTCTAAACGCATTATTTCATTTTAACGTGTATATATAACTTTTTAAAAATTGATTAAACATTTTTGAAAACACAGTTTTGTTTTTTAAAACGTTTGCAAAACTATGAAGAATTCCATCGATACCAATCACGCCATCTATATGCAACTTTTAGCAATAATAATGGCTACTTCCTCATTGAGTGCCACTGTCTATAGTAAAACATACTAATATCATAAATGTGAAAGTGTTTGTTTATAAGTGTTATGAAAACAGCTAACATATAATTTTGAATGCAGCTGTCTTTAGTGGACTGTATTTACGACAATAGGATTTGAGCAAGAAATTGATAATTTGGAAGGCACTCACCTTGTACTACGAGGATTGCCGGTTCGGTTTCAGCAAGGCTTCCCAGAACTCCGGGCTTGTCCGGACTTACCTTTTGAACTGGTTACCTGTTTACCGCCAAAACCGACAATAGGTGCTTTCCAGTATCAACTCTTGCGTTCCCTTATTATTTCGTACTTAAACTAATAATATTCACGAATTTAGTTACAAATCTATATAAAATAACGACAATTACGACAGCGATAATCAGAACACTTTTTCGACAACGACAAAGGCGAAACGACTCTCACCCTCGTAATCTCTTTTTATTTTTATTTTTTTTTATTATTATTTACGGCATTGGATGTCGCGATAATGTTGCCGTGCGTTATATTGTGAATAGTGAACAATAAGTTTGATACCGTTTCGCGACTAAACGAATATCAATGTATTATAGTTTGACTTGATTATAGATTGTGCCTCAAAAAAGCATAGTTAGTTGTGGGTAGACTTATGAATTGACAGTAATCTATTAGATTTTAGTTAGAATATCTATATTTCTTTTCCGATCTATTAATTTTAAACGTAATAGAAGTTACTAGGGTGGAAAAGATAGTCGACTGTTGCTGTTGTTACCTAATCGACATTTGCAGGCTGATTCATATTGGTGATTTATGTAGCGATGAATAAATTATGAACTATGATTTCATTTACTAACAGATTTTATCGTGTATACGTGAAAATACGTTATGACTTATATTCATGCAAATCAGTTACAAAACAAAGTCCCTCGCCGTGTCTGTCTGTATATTCGCGATAATCTCAAAAATCTACTGAACGGAGTTTCATACAGTTTATTTTTCAACTAACAGAATGACTTCCGTGTCGTAGGTGGACTATTCGTTGGTTTTGTGTAAACTAATCGAAATATCCTTGCGAAGCCATGATTACTTACTAGTATGTAAAATATTGAAAGTATTAAAAAATAGGTTTTGGAAAACAAGCATATTAATTTCAATCAACGTAACGTAACCGTTGGCTGTAACCAAAATTGTTTGGTGTAGAGGAATGTTTGGCGCAAGCTTTTCTTATGTAAATAAATACCACTAGGATTTGCACTGTTTAGAATTACTCTTCTTAAATTAGACTAATCAACATATTACACACGTAAAAAAGTGATAACAATGTGAAGACCAAAATGTTCTGTGACAATTACTCATTTCTGACTAAGTCTCCAAACAACAAAAGTCAACAAATGCATTTAATCTTCATTTTATCATTTTTATTTGGACCGAACATTTTTTTATTATTACCTCAAGACTGAAGAAAACCTATTTTGTTGTTTCTACTTTTATTTGAAGAAGTTAACGACGCTTTTCTCTAATGCCTCTTATATAAGTTTAATCAACATCTGATCAGTAATTGTTGAGTTCTCCTTAAAATGCAATTGAAATCGGTTTCGTGTGCTGAATACAGTTATAACTATTTTTTTTTCTTTTAACAGATGAGCCGCATTCGACCGTGTTCGGTTCGGTGACGGATGGCGTTTTCGAAGGGAAAATCATCGCGAAAGACGGTCCCTTCTACGTGGAGCACGCGCGGCGATACTTTCCGCCAAACGGGACGAGAACCCGCGTCCATTCTGTGATTTACAAGGAGAGCGACGTCAGCGATCCCTACTCACACCGCAGACACGGTACATACATACATCATCTTATCTATTTTTTTATTTAAGGTGTTTGAGTTATTATCAGGTGCTTTAGACCTGCAACACTGGGACCTGCAGATATCTATTGTGCTCACCCTTTTAAAATCTTATCTATACTAATAATATTGTAATATAATAAGGTAAAGTTTCTAAGTTTTGGTGTTCGGTATATTTTCCAATATTACAAGTCCGATTTTGAAAATTCTGTTTATGTTGGATAGTTTGTTTATTGAGAAAGGATGGAAGGATTATAGGCTATGTATGTATAACGTCGTCAAGTATGATCGAATGGGAACTGCAATGAAAAATGTAACAAAAACGAACAAAATTTTACGTAGACCAAGTTACACGGGTCAGCTAGTACTAACTATAAAGTGTGGTTTTGATACTAATATTATAAAAGGATAAGATCTGATAGTAATAAACGAAATAGAAGTAATATGAGAAAATAACAGTAATATATTATATATACTTGTGACGAAAGACGTTTAAATTCACTTAATCAAAATCTAATAGGTCCACTATAAAGAAAAGGTATTAAGTGCGACTCTACATTGAAGTTAAAATATAAAATATATAAATTTTATGCTCTCTGTATGTTATTAACAATTGGCATCTGTTTAAGTAAACCATTAGCCATAACTATTTAGCTTATATAAAATTATAAACCATGCAAGGTTCATTACTATGATAATCATTTAATCTGTTTTAAACTAATAAACGAGCTAATAATACCCTAGTGAAATTTATAACAAGAAATTAAGATGTAAGCTTATTAAACCCATGAATATTATGTGGGAGGAGTATTTAATTGGTGTTAGTGCGTCAACATAAAGCTGTTTTTATTACTCGCATCCATTGAATTATGGGATTAAATTATATATTTCGATGTATGTAGCCTTTAAGTTAATAGTGCCATAACGAAATTATATGGCTGCGTGTAACTGCTAGCAATTTGTAGACACAACTGCAGCGTGCAGTATAGAGTGCAGAGAGAAGTGGAGGCAACTCGCGTGGAAGTTTCGCCACAGTGTGTCGCACAGCAAATGGATTGCAACGCAAGGCCGTTTAACAAAGTTTAATCCCATTTGCTCGGCGCGCTGTCACCAGCTGATTGCAACATCGCTTGCATCGGAAAATTCGAACTAATTTATCACGGGCGTTCCGAATCGTTTATTGGTAACAATGTAAGTCATAAATTCGTTATACGGCCTTCAGGTTTCATTATAACATAACAATTTCTCGACTCAGTCAATTCCAGAGATACTGTTACGATTTTTTATGTAATCGGAATGACAGACAAGTTTATGGCTCACTTGATGGTATAACCATCGCCTTTATACTTGAATAGCATTTTATACTGTTCACACGTTGTTATTCTGAATATATATATGTATAAGATATCATCTTCCTATAATTTCACTGCCTTATCCTGACACTTCAAACGAAACACGATTTACAAAGTACGTTTGGCGGCTGAAATAGACGTGACTGAGTTATCTCGGCAGATGACGTTATACAAGCTAGTACCTCGGTCTACTTCGATATGTACCAAAATTGTCAGCCCACCAGTATCTTTCTGCATTACCAACCATCGAAAAGTAGAATTTGCATTGGTTTGCGATATCACCGAGCGAGTTTAAATTCTACGTTAGATATTCATTCGCCCGTGGTAGGCCGGGGCTGGAATGGTAATTTCGCGTCAACAACACGCCCCCGTTTGCAGCGTTTGCATTTTTGTCGTTTCATCTGTGCTCTGTGCATAAGCCTGCAATATATATACAAATCTACATATTGGCTAGGTAATTGCATTCAAATTTGTTGAATGACGTGTATATTTTTAAATCGTAAATACAGGATCGAGTTAGAGAGGATAAATAATCAGACGCTAAATATGTGTGTCTTAAAGTTACCACCATAAAACCGAGACGATTTTATACCAATAACCTGTAAACGAAAAATCTACAAAATGTATTCTAAATAATTATACTAAGAAGAATATTCGTTTTCATTTTATACTATGATAGACACCTAGCATATAGATAGACACCGTAGTTAAGGGATTTTAACAAAGGTACGGGTAAAGAAATATTCGGGTCTGTATCTTAGTTACAAGTTCAACATTAACTGACTGCTGAATATATTCTTGCTATTGAATATCAAAACTTACTAACCTTCTAAAATATATACCTAACTTACAGTTATATTTATAAAACAATCTTAATCACACACCGTCTTTTTAAGCAGGATGCATTCAAATTGTAATTTGATAACAACGTTTCGCAATTTGTAAGCTGATGTCAGTGGTTTGTGTGACTCACACAGACATATTATTCTGTATCAGATGAAATAAGTAGGTACATAAATTTATTTAATATTAAGCTTATATACTATTCTACTATTTGACGAGCACCGATTTGAAAAATTCTTTCATTTCTCAAAGTTACAATACGTTCAAAGTTCCACAGACTATATATGTTTTGCATACATCGAAGACAAGGATGAATTACTATTGATCAGATAAAAAAAATAGCGGAATTGTCATACTTGTCGATTGCAAAGTGTTGTACCTAAAATAAACCATGATATATAGTTATATCAACAAGTCGACATCGACTTCTTCGCAATAAAAGAACCAAAACAAAATATTGAAATGTAAAGTACCTACTATTTATGCAATTTTATAACATCGAATTCGTATTTGTTCTGCTTCTGGAAATTACATTTCATCTGAAAGAAATAAATAAGTAGGCATTGAGTAAACAGAAAGGGTCGCGTTTGTAGCTCTACATTTGTTTTCATTACGAGTTATTGAACAATCGTATCGGGGGTTCGCCCTTTTACATAAATGCAGGTAAGTATTACAAAGTTTTACACAGTAGGTATATTTATCTAAATTTTGATAAAATCGTAACAAGTGGATGCGATAAAGTAACAAATAATTCAATATATAAAATGAATGTTATTAGATGACAAATATTTGATCACGATGTAGAAAGTCACGATGTTTCTATCTAAAAAAGACTCTAAGAATATTTGTTATGTACAATAGTTCAATGATTGGATATAAGATTACTTTGATACAAAGAAGCCCAAATTGCATAATATTCATGTTCATAAAGAACAACGCAATGTTTTTTTTTAATTAAGTTTTTTTTATGACAATACTACTTTTTAATATGAATAAAATACAAAATGAAAAGTATTATTAAATAAACAAGGTCTATAAATGCTACATATAAATAACGTTGAACACTGAAATTACTTTCAATTACACAAGGGTTTAAACACGCATAATCTCTATTTCCGTTGGCGCATATGGACTATTATAACGAGAACGTGACCCTAAGCACCTAAGTGTCCCCCGACGCGGCAGCTTAACTTTACGACGTTATGCCAAACCCACGGTCTGCGCGCACACTCGTGTTCGAACTTCCCTAGGGTTGACAACTGTATTTTGTTAGCTATTGTGGTTCTTTTATCAGCCCACCTCATGGAAGTGACAACCTTCACCTATATACACAAACAGTATTCCGTCGTCACGAGACACCTGTGGTATCCTTCATGTGTTACCTAAGGAGAAGCTAGGAAGTTGTTACGCTTCCGTATACTAATTTTAGTCTAATATTTCATTATCGGTTAATTAAGGCGCCACGACAAATTCTTCAGGAATTAAAATGATGAGGGATCACGACAAAGTGGACTATAATATTCCAATTGTATGTATACATTACATATACATTGATATTAATGGTATTGTAGCCCCTATTACTAACAATGCCTTCCACCTTACTATAGGTAATTGTGGTCAATAAATGAGTATAAGAAAGTCAGACAATCGCGCCCGCAGCCAGTAATTTTACTACGCCGATTATCTGATATGGTCATGTCAAAGAATTAAAGTTTAAAGAAAGCTTTAAACGCGGAGGGGTGAATAATGGCAACCAAAGTTACAATGAAAGATGATAATGTCCATAAAAGGGAAGTATGCCCTACTTTTACGGGTATTTATCCTCTTGGGTATGACAGCTGATAGTGATCAGTGGAAAAGGAAAACATATTACACCCGTCCCCGTATAATGTGATAAAGGCATGATGATAATAACTTGAGACCCCTGCCTATGTATCTATGAACTGCAGCAAGCACATTAGCGATACTGCAACGCCCATACATCATCTCTTGTCGCGATAGCGCTCCTAAATATCACCACTGCATAAAATATATTACCATTTTATCTACTGAAACTGCCTAATAGTACAATTTAAAAAAAATGATTGCATAGTTGGTAATGTAAGTGACAAAAATGGTTTATGAAGAGCAGACTTTATTTATTGGAAATTAGCATGAGTAAACTTTGTCAGTTGTAAAATGAATCAATCAAAATCATTGCTGGCAAGCAATCGCGTAATATGTATACATGATACAGTATAGTTCAATAACTAACCTGTATCTTTTGGAATTCGTATGTAAATGTGGTTGTGCTGAGGGTTCCAGTTACTGCAGGAGGATGTTTTCTTTTTTGCAAGAGTCAACTCAACACTGATGCAAAACAGAAAGTCCTTTGTGACTGTGATGGCTGTGTTGGTCGCAACATTTCAGGTTAAATTAATATTTATAATGTTACTATTACAATTTAGTTTACAATGTGAACGACGAATAAAATATGTTTATGTAATTGATAGCCCAGCTGATGATAATGTAATTTAATAAATTTTTGGAATATAAAATATCTTATTTGTATCTTGATTTATTCTTATTTAAAACTAGAGTACAGTAAAGTTATTTTTGGATGGTTTGTATATAAAAGACGCGAGTATAACAGATTTAAAGGATAACTTAGTAAAACGATCGTGATAACGTGAGTTGTTCTAACCTTGTTCGTCTGATGGTCAAACTGATTATAAAATGCGTAGGAAGCATAAATACTATAGAGTAAATGTTTCTCTGTTTAAGTCTATCGCTCCTATAATAAAACGAAGATTATAAC